AGAGGATGTGGAGCAAAGGGAACAGTCCTCCACTGTTGGTGGGAATGTAAACTTGTACAACCACTGTGGAAATCAGTATGGCGGTTTCTCAGAAAATTAGGAATCGAACTACCTCAAGACCCAGCCATCCCACTCTTGGGCATATACCCAAGGAATGCTGATTCATACCATAAAGATACATGCTCAGCTATGTTCATAGCAGCACTGTTTGTAATAGCCAGAACCTGGAAACAACCTAGATGCCCATCAACGGAAGAATGGATGAAAAAAAATGTGGTACATATACACAATGGAGTACTACTCAGCAGAGAAAAACAATGAAAGCTATCTAGTTCTTATATCTTAAATTAACCCATTTCTATTACTCTGTAAGTTGCCACGTGGTTTGTGGCTTACCAGTACTTTACATCTTGCTTCTCAGGGCAGCTAGCAGCGTCTCCTGACTCAGCCTTCCCTTCTGGGCATTCTCCTCTCTGTTTATCCCACCTATACTATACTTCCTGCCTGCCAATCAGTGTTTTATTTATCAATCAGCCGGAGCAACATATTCACAGCATACAGAAAGACATCCCCAGCAGAGAATGGTTTTTTCTTTCTTTCTTTTTTTTAACCTACACATAGCCTGTTAAATATTCACCCCAGTATTACTCCACAAAAACCAGTTAATGCTTACCATTTCATCTCAACTGCTTTTCCACAGAGTGGGAAAAACACTCTCAGTCCATGCTGGCCTTTAAGAAATGTATCCAAATGCTTCTTTAATAGCCTGGGGAGAAAAACAAAGTCACAACAATGTTTGCTTTAACTAGGCCAATGCAGAGGGGAGAGCAGAATTAATGAAACTAAGAACTTCTCATGTATTATCTCAGTGTTCCCAACAATGTAACAAGGAGGTAATGTTACTTATTACAACCTCCAGTTTACACTTAAAGAAACAGGGAAGCTTAAGGAACTTGCTTCATTACACAGCTATTTAGTATCAAATATGACTAACAACCTGAGTTTTCATGACTGGGAAATAACTTATTTCCCTGAGTGATAAATTTGGAAAAGTCTGTCCTAATTGTTCAGTTGGAACCTCCAGCTTACTCCTGCTTGATCCCTAAAGCCCCATTCCTGTCCCTCCAAACCTCACCCTCTCAGAGAATCTCCATCAAAGGGAAGGCACCAAAGAGCCCAGTTCCTAATTTTTGGTGTTACAGCAGCTCCTTCCCCAAAGTTGCCAGCGGCCCAAATCCCCACCTAAAGTCAGCTTTTGACCATACTTGGGCATAAACCCAGCTTGTGGTGACAAGTCATCACCCCTTGCCTACAACATATATAATCCCCCTGCTTTAGTTCCAGCGTGTGACTTCTGCCTCAATCTCTGGGACTGGAAAACTCACCCAGGACTTGCTTTGCTCAAATAAATCTGTTCTTTTACTTTTCCAATTTGGCTTGATCTGGCTTACTGCAATTGTGATACAGAAAACCTATTACTAATCACCACATTTATACTCTTATTTTTGTTGTTATGAAAGTGATATTAAGAAGGGGTTCTCTGGACCTGTACATTTTCAGTACTTCACAGAATAGCCTCTCAATGAGCTTAACTCTTCTTTCTTTAATTTTAATTAAATTATGTTGTGTGTGTGTGTATATATGTGTACACATCTGTGTCATGACACATCTCTGGAGGTCAGAGGACAACTTCCAAGAGTCAGTTCTCACTTTCCATCCTGTGGGGCTTAGAGGCGGAATGTAGGCTGTTAGGGTTGGTGCCAAATGCCTTTCTCTGCTGAACCAGTTTGCTGGCCCTCACCTTCACTTAGAACATGTGGAGACATAAGCTTACATGTTGCTTCAGCATTTGCTGCAGGTATAGGCACCATGACAAAAGTTTGGGTGATTTTTTTAAAATGAAGATGCATTTCATAACTCTAAGATGTCATCGTCTGTAAGTCATATCATTATATAATGAGAGAAATCAAAGTATGATATGCTATGGATGCTTTCTGATTTCTGAAAGGCTACATGATATGAGACAAGTACACAACCACAATGTGTATCTGAAAATAAACCCCAAAATGTATTTGTATATTACTTTCAAAGTCAGCTTCTCCCCCCCCCCCTTTTTTTCTTCTTCTTTTCTTCTGGAGACAAAGTCTCATGGAGCCAAGCCCTGGCCTCAAACTCCCTTATGAAGCTTCCACTTCTGATCCTCCTGCTCCCATTTCTCAAATGCTATGACAGGCATACACCACCACACCTCATTTTGTTCAGTGCTGCGGATCAAACCAAGAGTGTCCTGCATGCTAAGAGAGATCTCTACCAACTGAGGCACATACTGCCCCCTCACCCCAGCCAATTTCTGATAAAGCATTTCTCTGTCAGAGACCAAACATGTCTTACTGATGCCCTTGTTCCTGGTGAAATCCGGTGTTATGGGTCACCCACTTGTCTTGCCATTCTTCCAGAGTTAGTACTCGATTCTTCTGCACTTCAGTTTCAGGGTGCTCTTTCACATCAGGTGAAGTTGTACTATCCATAGTTTGTAGATAATTTTTGTCTCAGAGGCTGGTGTCTCCAGAGCCTAAATGGAAAAAGTATCTGCAATGATGTTATTCAGGACCTGTGATTCTACTGATGAACTATACAAAACCCTTTTACCTTTGGCAATAGCTTTTTAAAAATACATCAAGATCAAAGCCAGGAGTGTTACCACACACACCCAAAAGTTGGGAGACAGAGGCAAGAGGGTTGTTGCAAATTCCAGGCCAGCTTGGTCTATATCGTGGGTTCCAGGCCAGCCAAGGCTACATAGAGGACCTTGTCTCAAAAACAAACAAGACAGGCATGATGCTATATGCTTCTAATCCCAGCCCTGGGGAGGCAGAGGCAAGAGGCTCTCTGTGAGTTCAAGGCCAGCCTGGTTTACAGAGTGAGTTCCAGGCCAGTCAAGGTGACAGTGAGACCCTGTATCAAAACAAACAAAAAACCAAAACCAACCAAACAACAACAAAACCCAATTTTCAACATCCAGTAAGTCATACCAAAAATTACATTTCAGTGAGTCTAGGACTAAAAACACTTCCTTGTTATATATCAGAAAAGATATCTCAGAGAATAATCTGCACTCTGCCCTACAAGGCTACAGAAGGAACAAAGAGGAGAAGCCGGTCTGTAAGAAGTTGACAAAAGGAGCCTGTGATTTTAGCCTTTTCTGAACCATCCAACGCCCTAGTTTCCTAGTTTCACTCTGACTCCCACTTCTGGGACTGGTGCGGTTAGGAGAGGAGGGCTCGGGGATTCTGCACTGCCTATAGTCATCCATTGGCCGGCCCCATGGCGAGATCAGAACTCAGCTTGTAGAACCTGTCACGTCCTTTACCAGCAGCCCTCTGCTTACTGTGTCCTGACATTTGGTAGGGCTTCAGGAGGGAGAACAAAAAATAGACACATGGGTTCAATATATTATTGCTATACCATAAGTTTGTATTTTCAAATAACTTTCTCATAGCTTTTGGAAAGGTACTGAAGATTGAACCTAGGGGTTCATACATATTCCAGACAAGCACTATGCCACTGAGCTACATCCCTGCTCCCGTTTGCATAAGAACATGGACAAGAAGGGAAGTGAGGGGGTAGGAACTTCATGTACCTGCAATTGCAGTTAGACTATGTAAGGAGACGCCTCCTGCCTCCCCCCACCCCCCGCGTTTTTTTTGGTGTTTCGAGACAGGGTTTCTCCATGTAGTTTTGGTGCCTGTCCTGAATCTCATTCTGTAGGCCAGGCTGGCCTTTGAACTCACAGAGATCCGCCAGGCTCTGCCTCTGTGCTGAGATTAAAGGCACACGCTGCCTCCCAGCTGCCCTTCCAATATTAAGGGCAACATAACACCACAGTTCTGGGGGCTAGAGAGATGGTTCAGTGGTTAAGAGCACTTGTTGTTCTTGGCAAAGGACCAAGGTACAATTCTCAGAAACCACATGGTACCTTATGGTGGTCTGTAACCCCAGTTCCAACAGTCCAGCATGCATGTATGCTTGTGTATACAGGCATACAGGTAAGACATTGGTTCACATAAAGTAAAACAAATAAATCTAAAAAAATTTTCCAGAATTCCGACCTGCCCTTTAAACCACTGGTGACCATATGACTTGAATGTAATGATTTTATTTGTGAAACAGCAAACACATTACAAAAGCAGCAATTTAAGGAAATGTCCTTTTGTTGTATGATTTAGATTCTGTGCTTAGGATTAAGGACACCCCCATTAACTCTGGAAACAAAAATGCAGTTCACAGCAAGTATTTACTAACAAAAGGCTTTTTCCAGGTCCTGATGTCAGGGGGCAAAGCCCAGAATTCTGAAAGGTCAGCAGGAAGTATGGGATTATTGTGGATACAGAAAAGCAAGAGAATTGCTCTTTCCCCTGTTTTCTCTCCTCAGAAACTGTGGTACTAAAAGTTGCCCTCAGAGAGAAGTGCTCTTCTGTACACAGAATAAAGCATAATCTTTACCTTGCCTAGCTCTATCCCTCTCACCGAATCCGGTGCTGAAAATATCATAAATACAATCCCTTAGCTGTAGTAATAGTGCCTCAATGTGGTGTTCACTGTTCAATTCTGGAGAAATAAAACTATGAACACAATAAAAGACAATACAAGTGCAAAGTACGAAGATAAGAAGAGACAAACCCACGATAGTTTCCTCTCATAAATGTTCTCTTCCAGTATATTCATTGGTCCAAGTCCTCCATACTTAAAACACTTGTTTCCGCTTTAGGATTTTTTTTTTTTTTTTTAAACAGAGGGTCTGTCTGGAATTCACTATGTAGTCCAGGCTGATCTCTAACTCACCGAGTTCCTCCTGCCTCAGGCTATAACGCCTGGCTTCTGCGTTTGTTTAATTTTTAAATTTCGTTAAACTGAAAAGTAACTTCAATAAAGTCCACAGATCTCGAGTATGGTTCATGGAAGTATTTTACCCTTGGACATGTATTATCTGAAACACACTACTAAGCACGGAGGCTACTTAATACAATGAACTCAAAGCATTTGCTTTCTGATCTCTTCCCCGTTTTTGCTGCGGTGCCCGAAGCCCCTTTTCGGGACGCGGGGAGGTGGGTCATCCGTGCTTTTCACACATTCTGAAGAACACGGTAACAGGCTCATACAGTCTTAGCAAAACCACTCTCACCCGATGGGAACTTACCTCGGATGCGTCCAGATGTCTTCCTCAGACCCTAGCCCGCCCTTCGGTCTGCAACAACCGGAGCTGTGCAAGGACGCTCAGGCCCCGCCTCAGGGACGAAGGCCCCGCCCAGCATGGACAGGTCACGCCCCGCAGAAGATGCCCGGCCTCCAAGTCCTATAGGCCCTGCCCGGGCGTGAGAACCCCGGCCTGAACGCGCAGACGCCTTTGCACGCCAGAGCACGCCCAAGACACTTCGGCCCCTCCTAGGTCGTATTGACCCCGCCTCCGGCACAAGGACCCCGCCCAGGCCACTCAGGCCCCGCCCCCAAACCAAAGCCTCGCCCCCCCTCGTACCCCCCGCGCAAGGGCTCCACCCAGAGCGCGTAAGCCCCGCCTTTCGCAGGTGCGGAGTTTGCGCAGTGGCGGAAATGCCCGGGGCGGGGCGAGCGCCCGGACCCTCCCACTCCCTGGGCCTGCGAGCTCCTCCCACTCCGGGTCACGGCGTGATAGGGGCGGAAGCGGCGGCGGCCGAACTGCTGCAGCTGCTGGTGCGGATCCTGCTGTCCTGGGCACCCGGGCCAGTGCGCGCCGCCTGGCCAGCGCTCTAAGGTAGGGACTAGCGGCTCCGCGGGCGCGCCCCGGGGGTGGCGGGGGGTTTCGGGTGACAGAGCCGCACAAAGCGGCCGGCTGTGGGGCGAGCCCGGGCTGGAGGCGCGCGCGTTCCCCGGGGCTCCCCGGCGTCCCGCGTCTGGAAGGGGTGGCGCGGGGGACCCTGTGTGAGCCGGGGCTTCCCGCGCTGAGCTGCGGGCTTTCCCACTCGCCGCTGTCTTCGAACCCTGCAGGGAGCTCCTAGCGCCTCGGCTGGCTGGAGGTGAGTTGGGGCGGCGGCTGCACCTGGCACGCTGGCTCCGTCTCCAGCCCCAAACCGGGAGGAGGGGGACCACAGGCTGGCTTTCCACCCGGGGCTTTAGGAACCCTGCAGCCCGGAGGAGGGGCCTCACTCTGGGATCCCACCCAGGGCCGTAGGAACCCTTCAGCATGGAGGCGGGACCCCATTCTGTGCTCCCTGCCGGGCTGTAGGAACCCCTTAGCCTGGAGAGGGAACCCCACGCTGGGCTCCCACTCGGGGTCGTGGGAACCCTCCAGCCGCTAAGGGAGACTCTAGGCTGCGTTCCCACTCGGAGCCATGGGGAACCCCGTAGCCGGGAGGAGGGACCCTTGCAGCGTGAGGGAAGGACGCTAGCAGTGTTCCCAGCCTGGGCCGTGGGAACCCCGCAGCCAGCAGGAGGAACTCCAGACTGCCCTCCCCACTCAGGGCGGCGAGGGATCCCCACAGCAAGAGGAGGGGCCCCAGGCTTCCCTTCCCACTCGGGGCGTTGGGGAACTCGGAGTCGGGAGGAGAAACCCCTCGCTGGGCTCCCATCCGGAGCAGTGGGGAGCCCCGCGGCCAGGAGGAGGGACCCCACGCCAGGCTCTCCACTTGGGGCAGCGAGGCGCCGTCCGGTTTGCAGATGTAGCGGGTACCCTGCGCAGCTGCCCTGAGAACTCCCGGGATGCCTCCCCTGGGAATGCACGTCGCCGGGTCAGGTCCGGGTGGCTGTTAGTCTGCGCAGCTGGCATGTGAGAGAGGAAGGCAGAAGCAGGCCCACCTGCAGAAAGTTGGGGTTGAATGATCTCGAACCCAACCACAGAGGCCCAAGTCCTTGAGCACGCCACAGACTACGCCTGATGTGGGGAATCCCTCAGTTAACACAGACACAACTCAAGGCATTAGCTAGTCCCGTCCCCCCTCCACTCAGAGCAGTCCTCCTGCCTCAGCCTCTCTGCTGGAATACAGAGCCTCCACATCTGCTTTGAATGTTTACAAAATATATTGTGGTGAAAGCCTTTCGGAGGTTTTCTTCTGAGGGTACATGAGAAATTCCCATTAATAATTGTCTTACAGACAGGGAACAGTCAAGAAAAGACACGGGGCAATAGGGAATTCAGAATTGAATTATTGGGTTGGGTATTCAGTATTAAATTATAGCACTGGGTCTGTATTTCTGAAACTCAGATTGGCATGGGAATATGAGGTGCCCAGCTTGCCTTATTTTAAGCGACCCAAAGGGATTTCAGTTTGTTAACGAAGAGGTTTCTAGTAGATTGCTCCATTCTTATAAATAATGCTGCCTTTTCCGTGAATTTTTCCCTCTGTTTTGGATTCTTTTGAATTCATGTTTTTATGAATTTTGTGGTTGGTGTTTAGACTCTTGAATAAGCTACATTCAGAACACCTGGGAGTTATTTAAACAATTCTAAATATTAACATATTCACTTGTGTATTTTTATCTTTTTTTTTAGTCAAAAGAAAGCTAAAATTCTGCATTTAAAATTAGCAAGAAATGGGCTTATAAAATATTGACCACGAAGCAAATTCCATTTCGTTGGGTGTCTATACTGAAAAAGCAGGTAGGAGGGAGCAGCTGTGTGTGGTGCTTCTCACCTGTAATCCCAGCATTCTGGAGACAGAGGCAGGGGGATTGCCAAGAGTTAGAGTAGCTAGGGCGGGTACATGTAAAACCCTGTGCTAACAAGAAAACCAGGTGGGAAATCATTCAGTGTACTTGTTTTAATAACACTTTATTTCTAAGAGTATATTGTAAAACACAGTAGCTTGCGAACTTCCAACTCCAATGATTTTACCTCCATTTTACTGAAGACCCTAGGACTGACGGTGGAAATGCAGATTATATTAAGCGCTTTAGAGAGTGGAAGCACTTTACTCTAATTGTATAATTAAAGATGAAGATGCACTACTTTAAAGACTTCAGTCAGATTTAATTGCTCCTACAGTGTTCTCATTTCTTCAGACATTTCTCGATGCCTATTTGTGCCTGTTTTCCACTGTATAGGTGTAAAGATTTGAAATTTCTGGAAACCATGCTTGATTTTAGGAGCCATGCATTTCTGGCTTATGTTCAGTGTTGCATGAATCAAGGCTAATTTCTTATGTTCCAGAACCTCACAGTGAGCTTCAAGTGTTTTTTTTCTACAGTACTTACATAACTAACTAGGCTTCATGAACATAGGTTATTTACATACTCTAATATTTACATGTTCTATTTGTGGCCCATTTTGTGAATGCAGAATACTGTTTTACATGTAGAGAAATGTATGTATTTTTATGTATGTGAAAATTTATGTGACTGGTTAAGTGGACATCCTTTTTGAAAGTACAGATGAGGCATGGATTATAGTTCAGTGGTAGAGTGCTTGCCTACAGTACAGCGTAAAATAGGTTCATTTAAAAAAGTACAAATGGGATCTGGAAAGCCCTTGTTGTTGTTGTTGTTGTGAAACAGGGTATCTCTGTGTAGTACTGGCTGTCCTAGAACTTTCTCTGTGGACCAGGCTGGCTTTGAACTCAGAAACCCACCTACCTCTGTCTCCTGAGTGCTAGAATTAAAGGCATGCACCACCACCACCAGGCTCAGAAAGCCTTTATGTAACAATAATTGAAGGTAGACTGTATTCCTACTATTAGTACTTAATCAGTGGAGTCCCTAGGACTGATTTTCTTTTTTGTTTTGGGGACTTAATTCAGGGTCTCCTGCATACCAGGCTTGTCTTCTATCAGTGAACTGAACTCCTAGCACCCCCACACCTCTCCCCATTGTGGGCCAGGGAGACACAGAGATGGATCAGCAGCAGATAAAGGGCTTTTGCTGCCAAGCCTGAGTGTGATCCCTGGAACCCACATGGGAGGAGGAGAGAATTGGTTCCTCTTAAAGGTTGACCTCTGACCCTCACACTTGTGCTGTGGTATGTGCCTCCCCCCGTACATAAACATAAAGGAAAAAAACAAACCCTCTTAAAGTAGTAGTCTGCATCTTAGAATATGTAGGGTTAACGTGTTTGTAGCTAGCATTATGCTGGCTTTAAGAAAAGAATGAAAAGTTAAACCGCCCACAGTATTGATGTTGTAATTTCTTAGTGTGGATGTAAGAGTTTCCATGTGATGTTAATAATTTATGGGAATTGGTCTTGTGGATATGACTATAACTTACAAGCTGAGTATTAACAAGGTCTTCAGACTTTTCTCCAAGGTTAACACGGTGTGACTTCCGGTTCCTGTCTTCTGTGGTGCCGCTTTCCTGCTCCCACAGCACTGATCCTTACAGGTGTCCTACTTCTTTTTCATTCCTTCGTTTGGTGTGTGACAGGTAGCAGGATAGGAACGGCGAATAAGTACAGATCCATATGCCATTATTTACTCTCAGTGTTTTTCTTATTGAATATTTTCTGATAGCTCATAATCTTTCATGGTTTCAATGCTTAATTTATGGATGTTGAGGTTTTTGTTTGTTTGTTTGCTTGGTTTTGAGACAGTGTCTCACGTCCAGACTGGCCTTGACCTCACTGTGCAGCTGAAGCTGGCTATGAATTTCCAGTCCTCATGCTGAGGTCTCCTCCACTGGAATTGCAGGCATGAGTGGCCACACCCAGCTCGATGTTTGTTCTTAATGCTTGTTTAGCCATGCTGTCAGCAGACTAGTTTGAAAATTCTTAAGATTTGTCTAGTAGAAGATAATAGTGCTTTTTAACTCTGATCCAGATCCTTGTATTCTGTGTAGGAGTCTTCCTGTACAGTGCCTGGTATTCGCTAACTTGTACTAAGAAGAAATGAGTTAGGTTTATACTAAGACATCTAGATTGAGAAAACCCTAACAGGACACAGTTAGGTGGAGGGGCCATAACAAAAACTGACAAGGTAACCCCTGTAACCTTGGCTGGCCTGGATTTGTTATGGAGCAGAGGATGGCCTGGAACTTCTGGTCTTCCTGCCTCTACCTCCTAAGTTGAAGGCTTACAGGTACACATCAGCACGCTTGGCTTGGTTTCCTTTTATACAGGACAACGCAGGCATCAGGAGGTTCAGTCACGTGGAAATGGGGGTTTTATACACAGCTAGCTCCCTCATGACAGTGGCTTGAAATATCAGCAGGTGCTAATAATTTAATGGTTTTATCTCCCCCCCCCCCCAGATTTCCAAAAACAATGGCGGCACCTCGAGGGAGGTCAAAGAAGAGAGGAGCGTTGGAGCTTTCTCCGGACAGCCTGCCTCTGAGGAGCTCCGGGAGGCAGGTACTCTCTCCGCCTGTGCCGGGGACGCAGA